CTTCTGCTTTTGTAAGTTACTTTATCTCTTTACCAGGAGGTCTTGAAGGTTAAAATTAATCATTGGAATCCAAAAACTTTGTTAGGATATGTCTTAGAACGGATTGTTCTAATATGATTTTTCTCAGGTACCTGTATGATTTTTTTTTCTTTATTTTTAAATTACATTGGGGTGACATTGGTTAATAAAATTATATAGGTTTCAAGTGTACAATTCTATAATACATCATCTGTATATTGCATTATGTGACTACCACCCAAAATCAAATCTTCTTCCATCACCATATATTTGACTCCCTTATCCCTTCATTATCCCCTGCCCCCTTCTCTCTGATAACCACCATACTGTTGTCTGTGTCTATGAGTTTTTGTTTGTTTTTCTTGTTTGTTCATTTGTTGCTTTCACTTTTATATCCCACATGAGTGAAATAATATGGTTCTTAACTTTTCCTGACTGACTTTTATTTCACTTAGCATATTTTCAAGACCCATCCATGTTTTTACAAATGGCAGTATTTAGGTAGAAGTCATTTATTTATTTATTATTTTTAAAATATATTTTTATTGATTTCAGAGAGAGAAAGGGAGAGGGAAAGAGAAAGACAGAAACATCAATGATGAGAGTCATTGATGGGCTGCCTCCTGCACGCCTTCCCCTGGGGACGAGCCTGCAACCTGGAATCAAACCTCAGTCTCCTGGATCATAGGTCAATGTTCAACCACTGAGCCATGCCAGCCGGGCAGGTAGAAGTCTTAAAAAATTATTTCTGAAACATTTTCCTGGATTATAGTTTTAAATATTAATTCTGTTCCATTGTTTTATTTTTCCTCTTCAAGGAATCAAATTGTACAAATGCCATTGCTTTTTTGCCTTATCTCCCATTCTGTTACAGCAGGTCCTCAAATAACATCCTTTCATTCAACATCCTTTTGTAATAATATTGATGAGAAAAAAACTGATTCCTCGATGGGGCCACTGTCTTGTGGAGTTTGCACTTTCTTCCCATGTCTGCTTGGGTTTTATGCTGGATACTGTGGTTTCCTCCGACATCCCAAATATGTGCACATTAGGTTAAATGACATGTCTAAATTGTCCGAGTATGAGTGAGTGTGGGTGAATGCATGGGTGTGCTCTGCGATGGAAGGGTGTCCTGTCCAAGGTGGGTTCCTGCCTTTCACCCTGAGCTGCCAGAATAGGCTTTAGTCACTGTGACCCTGAACTAGAATCAGTAGGTTGGAAAATAACTATTTCATTTTAAATTATGATGTATGTATAGCTCACATTTATTTGTTTAATACAGAAGTGCTTTGGGTCTTTATTTAGAAGTTTGGTGGTGTTTTTGTGATCAGAAATGTGCCATAGGAACTTAACTCTTGTTTATATCAGTCTATGGTAAAACTGGTTTCATTATACATCATTTCACTTAAAAGTGGCAGTTTCCAAGAACCTATCAATGATATTAAGTGAGGACTTACTGTACTTTTTCCCTGACATTTTTTTACTTCTTTCTTTATTTCCTTTTCATTTGCTTATTTTTTGCCTTTTTCAGTGTCTTTTATTAAGTTGAGTTCATTCTCATCTGGATACCTTGTAATTTTATTTTTCATTTCTGAGATAATAGTCTTTTTCTTCCTTTTCTTTTTTGAGCTCAATGAACTTCCTTCCTTCCTCCCTCCCCTCCTCCTCCTGTTAGTTTTTTGTCTTCTAATTCAGAGGGGTTTCCATGACCCAGCTGCTTGTTATATTTAATTCTGCATGGAGTGTTATTACAGTATTTTTCTACTTCATGGTTGTTTTTTATAGGGAGAGGGGGAGAATTTTCCTCAGTTGATATGTGTGGGTTTTCATTTTCTGTTACTTTGAAGTAACTCTGTGTGGAACTGTTCATCTTTTACCTGTTTATTTTTGTGGTATTGTGATGTATTTTGTGAGACTCTGGTTCAGTACAGCCTTCAGTAGAGGCACCTGTTGGTGTAAGGACACACACACACACAGTGGAACAGAATGGTAGATCCACAAATAAACTTTTCCACTTATGAGCAGTTGATTTCTGATAAAGATGTCACATCAATTTAGTGGGGAAAAGGAGTTTTTCAAGAAATGGTACTGGGAAAACTGGATTTCCATGTACAAAAAAATGAACTTAGATGCTTATATCACGTCACACATAAAAATTAACTAAAAATGGACTTAAATTACTGAAACTTATAGAAAGAAACGAGACAAATTTTTGGTTCTTAGATTAGAAAAAGAGTTTTTACATATAACATAAAAAGCAAAATTAATGAAAGAAAAAAATAGCTAAATTGGGCTTCAACAAAATAAAATTTTGTACTTCAAAAGGTACTGTTAGAAATGAAAGGGCAAGCTATAGCCTGAGAGAAATAATTTACAAATTATATATATGATAAAGGACTTATATTCAGAATATATAAAGAACTCTTATAATTCAGTAATAAGAAAACAACTCAATTAAATATGAGCCAAAGTTCTGAATAAATATTTCACCAAAGAAGATATACTAGTGGCTAATAATCACATTAAAATGCTCAACATTATTAGTATTACAGAAATGCAAATTAAAATCATAATGAGGTACCACTCACTCTACACCGACTAGAATGGTTATAATAAAAAGACTGACAATACCAAGCATAGGTGAGGGTGTAGAGAAACTGGAGCCCTCATACACTGTTGGTGGGTGTGTAAAATGAAGCAATCACTTTGGAAAAACAATCTGGCCGTTTATTTATAGCACATTATTTATCATAGCCAAAAACTGGAAATATTTTAGATATCAATCAGCTGATCAGTGGATATAAGAAATGTGTTATATATATGTAATATCATACTATTCAGCAATTAAAAAGGAATAAACTACATGATGTGACAGGTATGAACCTCCAAAACATAATGCGAAGTGAAAGAAGCCTGGCACAAAAAACATATTGTGTGACTCCATTTATATGAAATTTCCAGACTGTACGATTTCCTTTATATAAAATTTCTCTAAGAAGGCAGACCAATGATTGTCTCAGGCTGGAAATGAGAGTGGGAATTGACTGTAAATTGGCACAAGGGAACTATTTGCGGTGATGGAAATGTTCTAAAACTGCACTGTGGTGGTAGTTGCAAATTTTATAAATTTACCAAACATCACTGAATTGTATAATTACACTGGGTGAATTTTGTGGTACATGTAAATTATACCTCAGTAAAATTGGTTTTAAAAAAGTAAATTGAGGAAGGATTTCCAGGTAGCTGAAGATAATAGTGGCTATCTTCCTTTTCCCCTCCCAATACTTCCTCTATAAACAGTACAAAATAGGATAAAGGGAGAAGTGAAACTACATGAAAACCACACTTCTGGCATGACTTGAAGACAGAATGTCCAAAATTCAAAATTATTGTAAATAAAATGGGAAAAACACCAAATCCCAGTGTGTCATCTTTCCAACTCCTGGTGTTCTTTTAGATCAGAGCATGGGAGTACCATGCAATTTGAAGGGACAGGTTTTTAGCTTCTGGGAGAGGAGATAGGTGGGCGATCAAAGGCAAAAAGGGAGAGTCACCTCTGGCAGTTGGGTGTAAAGGAGAAAAGAAGCATAAGGGGAAATTTTAGGGCTCTTCAAGACAAAATAGAGCCAAAAAATGAGGTCATACAATTCTATCAGGAATGTGCAGAGTTTAATTAGCCTCTCTTTGATTCTCTCATTTCCAGCATCTCCCTATTAAATTTCTGGCTAGCATGCCATTCTGTCATTTGACCTAATAAGCAGGTTAGTAGAACTGTGGCTGTCCCTGCTCATTAATTATCAACTTTGTTACTTCTACTGACAGTTTGCTATTTTTATTGACAATGCTGCTGGATAAGGTTTTTCCACTCTTAAGCTCCAATTCAAGTCAGCTATTGGCTTTCACAGCCTGTCATACCCTACTAAAACTACAAGGTTTTGAACTA